CCCGGCGGGCCGCCGGCGCTGCGGGTCGCTGGAAGGAGCCTCCCTTCCATTTGCCGTGCGCGACGGCGATGCCCCGGTAGAAGGCACCCGGCCACACGGGGATGGTCGTGTTTGGTACCCGGTGGTACCAAACTCACCACTCGCTTGGCCTTTCTGGGTACGTGTGCTCTGCTCACCCTTGGTGTTGGTCATGGGCACAGGCCTTGCACAGGCTTCTGCTGTGTAGCAGGGTCGATTGGCCAACACATGTACGGGTTCTCACCCCTTCTCAAACACGAGTGTATTTTCCCAGCTGTAATCTGCGGGTTGAATAGTCCCCTTCCTTACACGACGTAAGTGATCCTCCTAGTAAGCCCAAAGTAACTGAAAAAAGCCTCGGATCATCTGTCACTATTCCTCACCCCAGCAAAGTATATTTAGTAGCTAGTTGTATATTTTATAACAAAACAATCTGCAACATAGAAATACATTTTCATTTAGTATTTAAATAGGACTGGGGCCCCATTGCATTTGTGGTGCCAAACACAAATTTCTAACTGGAGAACAAATCAACGTATTTTCCTAAACGTGGCTTGCTCTATTAAGCTTAAAGACTTAAATGGTGGAAAAGAAGCTCTTGCCATCAGCAAGCTCTTTCAGATACTCATGCTTGGTTCCCAGGCTGCCTCTCAGTCCCAAATCTGGACAACTTTTTGGTTTGCCACTGTTCCTCGGAGTGAACAGCAAGAACAACATTTTATGCACAATCTGAACAGTGGCCATATACTACAAGGAAAATTTTATGAGACAATGCCTTACAGCCCCATGTCACGACTCCTGACAAAGACCCGTAACAACTAGTAGTCCTTGCTTAAATCGTTTATTGTCTAAAAATATTTCTACACTTGGGCTGGAGCTGTAGACATAACTAAGACTGTTTTAACGTACCTCAGGTAAGAGGCAAAAAGAAATTGGGACCACACAGAGTGCATGGTGGAACAGACAGCCTGAAGAAGTAACGAAGGCCATCAGCCCCACTGCCTCTCCTCTGAGACTGGTGTGACTGCGCACGCTGTAATTATTTCTCTGGAGAGCAGTGTAGACATACTCTCAAAGGCAAGGTGTAGTTAGGGGATGAGGCAAACAAATGGGCTTAAGGGATGTAGGTCAAATGAGGTTGCAAATAACTCTGGGAGTGACCACAGGATTCTCCAGCAGTCAGCAGCACCAGGCACAGTCTGCCACCAGCCCAGGTCTTGCTGGCCTCAGCTGTATGGTACGCCCCATGGAAGGAGTGAGTTTTGAAGAATGACTCAAATGAGAGGTTAAAGTGGTTGCTTTACAGTATTGGGCATGGGAAGCAAAGGGGAAATGAAGATTAGGATTGGAAATGCTCACACGGTACGGAGAGAGTCCACATGGACCATCGCTGGGGATCTATGTTAGCTTGGGACTACCCGGGGGAAGTTCACAAGTCAGTGCAGACAAGAATGATCTGCTTCAGACCTTCAGAAGTCTCTGCAGCAGGACTCAGTGAAGGCGCTGAAATGGTCACGAGAATGACTTTAGCAGCACCATTAAGGGAAAGATTCTTTCATTTATACGAGACAAGAAGCGTATCAGAAGTTAACTTTAAAAACACTTTCAACAGGTCTTGTAAACTTATCTCACAGCCTCCCTGGTATCTGTAGGGGTCTGTGCTGGTTGCTTAAAAACTTCTAACAGCGCTATTCAAACCTGAATTTCAATGGATTTACGTTCCTATGTTCCTGCACATTCCTTTCGATAAATAACCCAGCTATATCCATCACATTAATTTTGAATATCCTTTTTAACCCACAAGCCCCTGCAGAGAAGGGAACCCCCACTTTCCTCCTGTGTCCTCTATCTACCAGCTGGACAAAAAGACAAAGCAGAAAAAACTATTGAGCTGAACTGAACCACTAATTTGGGTCTTTCCTTTATCCAGACAACAGCGTTTCTGAAACTTAAGAAATTCTCATAACTTTGAGATCTGAACCCTTCTTTTAAATATATTTGAAGCTCATCAGCAGGTTAGAAACTGGTTGAGGAGACAGAAATTACGTGAGAAACTATTGACAGAGTAACAATGTGCTCACAAGAACTTAATTTTCTTAGAAAGCCATGCTAAAAAGCTCACTTTGGATAATTAGGTGAGAATATCATTGTATGCCATATTTCCTAAATGTCATTACATTTAATAAAGGAAATACCTAGAAAATTGCAATTTCAGAGATAACGGTGTTTAGTCATTTAGACGTTTGTCAAGTTTCTAAAACTAGGTACTATCATTTTAGTCTTCCAGACTTGTTTGTCATAGATTTTTTACTAGTAGTATGCTAAAACCCTCTTCAAACTCTTGCAGCTTCATTGAGTCTGAGTCTGTTCTTCCACATCTGCGTACTATTTAGCAAAGCACGGATGCAGCACACTAAAGAGTATGTCTGAGAACAGGATTAACTTCCTTCACTGGAGACCAGTAATTAACCCAATCTTTTCTTAATCTGATTTATTATTTTTTTAAAGGCTGGGGAGAGTATATAGTGTTCAGGTGCCTTCACATCAAGGTTTAGTAAAATGATGCAAAGCAAAATTTATCAACGGGACTGCCATGAGAAAGAAGACAAATCACTCTTCTGATTATAAACTTGAATGCTTCCCAGTTTCTTACACTATTTGAAGAAAAACAAGCCATAGTGTTTTGTCAAAGTTACACACCAAAGTTTCAGTAAATTAGTCCTTCGTATAGAACGGTTTTACTACAATCCTAAAAAATCAAAATGTCATCCAAATTTCTGAT